GAAAAATATATTCCAAATTTTGTTGGTTGTATAATGGTTATGTTTAAATTATTAACACCTAAGAAATTGGGTGAAGGGTACATATAATATGCTGTAGTATTTTATAGTTTTTTTTTTACAAGTATGAGATTATTTCAAATTAAAATATTAAAAAATTAAAAATTAATAAAATATTAATTGAAATGTATCTGCATTACATGAAAAATCTCCTAATTGCTTCTAGCATAATTTATTAAATTGTACTAAAATTTACAAGGGTTCAATTAAAAAATATCTTAATTCTAAATGATATAATAGAAAATATATAATAGTGCAGTTATAAGCACTTATCTGAAAATAAAAATTTAAAGAAGTGAATTTAAAGAAGGGATTAGCCAAAGAAAATATATGCACAACCCTTGGACACAGACAACAGTATGGTGATGGCCAGAGAGAAGTGGGGGGCAAGAGCTGGGTAGAGGGGGCAAAAGGGGAAATAGGGACATCTTATATAATAATAATAAAAGGCTAATATGCACATTGACTGAACGGCAGAATGACCGTTTACTATGATGCGCACTGGTCGCCAGGGGGCAGACCCTCAATGCAGGAGCTGCCCCCTGGTGGTCAGTGCACTTCCATAGGGGGAGTGCCACTCAGCCAGAAGCTGGCTCATGGCTGGCCAGCGCAGTGGTGGTGGCAGGAGCCTCTCCCACCTCTGTGGCAGCACTAAGAATGTCCAACTAACAGTTTAGACCCGATCCCTTGGGGGCCTAAGCCTTTAGCCGGACATCCCCTGAGGGCTCCCTGGCTGCCAGAAGGATTCTGACTGCAAGCTTAGGCCTGATCCCCTGGGGAGTGGGCCTAAATCGACAGGTGGACATCCCCCAAGGGGTCCTGGACTGTGAATGGGCGCAGGCAGGGCTAAGGGACCTTCCCCCCCCACAAGTGCACAAATTTTTGTGCACCGGGCCTCTAGTATTATATGTACTATTTTGACATGTAATTTTTTGTAGTAATGTAATTACTGCACGAATCTTCTAATTAATTTCCTTTCAATGTGCTCAAATCCATGCACCAGGCCACTAGTTTATATATAAATACTTTTAAATTATTTTATTCAGTCATTTACCTTGTAGAATTTGGTCTATGGGAACTAATAATAGTACATGGAAAATGTTTCTTATGAAGATGAAAATTATTTTAAGAACATAAATAAAAAAACATTTACACTTCTGTCAACATGGTTTAAAAATATGTGATCCATCTGCAGAATGAACTATTACATAACTAAAAAAGTTTTATGAGGGTATCTTATAAAGTGAAAAATATGCCTGAGTTCCCATCAAATGAAAAAATAATGTTTATAGAACATTATACCAAACTTGGCTCTCTTTCCATGAAAGTTTTTATGAATACATAGAGAAAATACTTAAAAATACTCTCTAATATAGCAACTATTGTTATCTTCCTTAGGTGAAAGTTTAATATGTCATTTTTATGATCTACACTAAATATAGATTTGTTTTTATGATCAAGCAGAAAATTGATAGGAAAAAAACTCAGCTACAATGTAACCTCCTCCACAAAGCTTTGGTCCAACTGCCTAATCAGAATGGGTAGCTTCTTCCTCTATATTCTCATAGCATGTTTACTCTTTAAACATGTTCTGATGCTTTATGGACCTCTTTTTCCACTTGACTGAGATACTTCAACGTGCAGTTATTTCATATGCATGTCCCCCCTTTTGCTCTTCCATTACCAATTCAAACCCTGGAATAGAGTAGGTGCTCTGTGTTATTATTTGAACTGTGTCACCCAAAAGATATGTAGAAGTCCTCTGAATGCAGTAATATCTGAAAATAAGGTCTTTATAGATGCAATCAAGTTAGGATAATATCATTAGGGTGAGCCAAAATCCAATATGACTGGTGTCCTTATAAAAAGAGAAGACAGCCTGGCCAGTGTGGCTCAGTGATTGAGCGTTGACCTATGAACCTGGAGGTCACGGGTTCTATTCCCAGTCAGGGCATATGCCCGGGGTTGCGGGCTCGATCCCCAGTGTGGGGAATGTGGGAGGCAGCCGATCAATGATTCTCTGATTCTCTCATCATTGATGTTTCTCTCTCTCTCTCTCCCTCTCCCTTCCTGTCTGAAATAAATAAATTCAATAAAAATATTTTTAAAAAGAGAGAGAGAGAAAAGATAGTCACACACGCAAAGGGGAATACCATATGATGATGGAGGCAGAGACGGAGTGATGTATATGCAGACTAAGGAATGGCAAGGATTGCTGGCAACACTGGAGGTTAAGGAAGCGCATACAACAGATTTCTCTCTTCAAGCCTTCAGAGAGAATGGCCCTCCCAACACCTTGAGTTTTGGACTTTTAGCCTCCAAAACTGGTAGAGAATAAATATCTTTTGTTATAAGCAATTCAGCTGTGGAACTTCATTATAGAAACCCTAGAAAATGAATATGCTCAGTGAATAATTGTTGAATAATGAATGGATTGCTTCTGATGACCTCCAGGGATAAATTTAGAACCAGTGCATAGATTGTAGAGGAAGAAGATGCTTACTCTATGTTAGAACTTAGAGCCAAAGTAGCTCAGAGATAGGATGACTACCTAAGGAGGTACTGAGTTCCTCCTCCTGGCAAGGAATACAAGCCTTTGCTAAATGCCTGATGGGCTATACCAGTGGTCGGCAAACTGCGGCTCGCAAGACACATGCAGCTCTTTGGCCCCTTGAGTGTGGCTCTTCCACAAAATACCACGTGTGGGCGCGCACGTACAGTGTGATTGAAACTTCGTATCCCATGCGCAGAAGTCAGTATTTTGTAGAAGAGCCACACTCAAGGGGCCAAAGAGCCCCATGTGGCTCACAAGCCGCAGTTTGCCGACCACTGGGCTATACAAAGAAAATTCAAGCTACAGATAGACTCTCAGCTAAATTTTAATTTCAAATTAAAATATAACTAATTACTATTTGGAAGTCTACTCCGAGATCCATTGAAATGAGTAAGTAAAGCAAGTCATCCTGGTTTTAATGGGGCCAGGTGATGTTAGCACCATCTACTGGTATTGAACAATGCTACAAATGTGATAGCATGAAAGTTGCCTGGGACAGCACATAACATGTATTAAAAAATATATAACACTTTCCCTTTCCCTTTTCCAGAAGGTAAAAACAAGTAAACAAACAAATTTAAAAACACCTGACTGTTTTAAAGTTTCCAAATTTAATTTATTTAAAATAAATTCCTATATCTGACAAAGGTAATTCATTCCTATATCTGGCAAAGGTAATACACAAAGTTCACTCTAAACACTACTTTAGGCTTAGTATTATCTCTTTAGAGTAGAAAGAGTTGCAATTTGTGTAAAACTGTGACAAAATACAAGATTATAATTCAATGGAACAAATACGTGTTGAGTCCTTAATATGAGTCAAAATAATGCCAAATTATACAAATATAACTTATTTTTTACAACAAATTCCAATCATTGGAATAAAAAGTCTTTCTGTATTGTGCTTGAATGTTAGAAAATATAAAACTATATTTAACTGTAAGTTTTTGATAAATATAGGGGTTGAAACATCCTTCAAATAACTAGGATGGTTACAGCTCATCTTCAGTGCTTTTTGTGA